AGAAGAGCCGTCTTCCACAGTGGAGGAGATCGAAACGAAATCTTTTAACGAACAAAGCAGCGAGGAGCACCAGCGAGAGCCGGATGAAGGTAAGTTACACCGAGGTCAGAAAAAAGGGATTTCAAACAAACAAAAAAAAGCTCAGTAGATGTGGGACTACATTTTTGCCGAAGAACTTAATTTATATTATGTGTACTCAGGCGAGGACGCGCCACCCAGAGCTCTACCAACACAAAGGGACATACAAAGTCTGGCAAAAGGTAAGCTATCTACTGCTTCTATTATTATTATTATTATTATTATTATTATTATTATTATTATTATTATTATTATTATTATTATTATTATTATTTACATTTGACGTAGCCTACATTATTGAGTTTTTCTCCATCACATACATTTATAAATATTTTTAAAAAAAGCTAATGAGAGGTTGTAGATTAGCGGGCCTAAATTTTATAAATCAAGCAAAACTTGAGTCAGTTTCAACGTCCTGTCGCTCATCTGCACCTTCAGAGTCTTTGTATTTTCGAGGTGGAGCGACCTTTAATTAACAAATTAGAAACACTGAAGTTAAAGTTAATAAGACAACACCTCAGACTTTCCACTTTCATCTTTTGTTACATAAATGTGGGGTTTGGCGGGGGTGTCGTCTGCAGTCCAGGAAGACCTGCTCTGAATTTTCAGTGCAGATGATGATAATGATGTGCTCATCACTGTCATTAAAAATAGCAAAAGTGTCCTACATGGAAGCTGATGGGAAAGCCCTCATTTTTTCTTCTTCAACACCCGGCGTTTTTGTTTGATTTTGATTTGTTTCTTTTTCTGTGTTTATTTATTTGTTTATTTTTGCAGAAGAGCTACAAAAGCAGCTCTTGGAGCAGGTGGAGCTGAGGAAAAAGCTGGAACGTGAATTTCAACATTTAAAAGGTAAGCTAATCTCTGCCACGGTGCATGTAAAGGCAAATGTTCCTCCTCTCTGTGACTGAGGCCAAAACATAAGCCTTAATATATCAAATCCACCTCAGCAGTAGTTCCCATGTGCTGCAGCGGAACTAAATAACTGCTGCTTTTAATCTGATCTACCTTTGCCCCTTTTCCATATTGATATACTGAATATATGTTTTTTTTTAATATATGTGGACAGCAGAAAAAAAAGGGTAACTTTAAAAAGTCAGCGTTTGATTTTTATGAAACACTAAACTGAAAAATATCTATAATAATATAATTATATATAAAACGGTTCCCCATCCACCACAATGAAAAATGTTACAGAACATTCCCATCTGCAGTCCATACATTAAGACCATCTGGATATGACACTAACAGCTTCACACTGGCAATGTAAAGATCATGATTTTGAAAATGAAACTAACCATGTCCTCAAGAAGCAGCTGCATTCAGGTGATTAATCAGGTGAATATCAGGTGAGATATGAGCAAATATTTTTTTTGTAACTTAAAATAATTTTATCCACCTTTTCTTACAAACAAATAAATACCTTTTTTCTGAAACATATTATATAGCAATATGAATATTTGGCAGACTCATATAAAAATTGAGAATTGATGTAATACCCAAAATATGTGCACTGGTTGCAGAACAGGTAAAGATGAATAAAAATTAAGATAAACCTGCAAGTATGGAAACTAAATGATGTCACTTACAGGTAGTTAAGTGATGATGAAGGCTTCCATATAAAAAACTATTTGTTTTTCAAAATTGTTGGAAAGAAATTAAACCTATATGTGGCCCATTTAGCATATATATATATATATATATATATATATATATATATATATTTTTTTAATATTTAAAATATATATATATAATATATATATATTATATTATATATATATATATATATATATATTATATATATATAAATTATTATTAAAAATTAGGGACAAGACAGTAAAACTTTTTAAATGTTAACCCTGTAATATCATTAATATTGGAAACTATTTTTTTTTTAAATTTTGATACCTAGCATAATCATCCTATTACTATATCTGAAAGTAAGACTGTTATGAATATAAGAGTGGTGAAGAAACATTATCAAACAAAAATCTGAGCAGATGTTATGATGTAACATATTTAAAGGGTATTCCGTTTATATTTCTCCTAATATAAACATGTCCTTGCAAATGCTTTTTTAACTTTCATCAGTGGCATCAATATTTTAATTATAGGTCGGATTTATTTTCATTTAAATGCTATAAATAAATAAAAATTATTGTCATAAGAAAATGTTTTTGTTTCCAGCTGAAGGCATGCCCGGGTGTTTGCTACCGTTGATGCCCTTGGTTTGTAGCTTTAGCTTGAGAAGAGCGCCCTCTACTGATCAGCTGCCCGACAAGTTTAATACATGCATCTGTTATGAATGGCATCAGCCTCTTAAAAGCCTTAATTTATAAGAAACTATTGCCTCTCTCTAAACAAACATTCCACTTTGTTTGTTTATGCTGTGGAGGTTACATGATTGTTTAAAATGACAAAGATCAGAGGTGCAAACATTTCCTACATGGTTCTGTCAGTAACTTTGGGGACAGCGGTGGCTAAAATGAAGGGTTTTTTTTTTCTGTCTGTGAAATAATTGTGGTTGGTTTACTGACTCAGATCTTTCATTTGCTTCTCAGATAATTTTCAGGATCAAATGAAAAGGGAACTTTCCTACAGGGAGGAGATGGTCCAGCAGCTTCACATAGTCAGAGGTGAGAAAAATAAAGCAAAGGCAGCGCACACAACAGCGTTTCACGATGTTTCTAACTGTGGGATTTACAGATATTTTATAGCTTATTTTTCATGTAAAATCACCGGCGACAGTCTATGTGCTCAATTAGGTTTATTTTACTGTTTTCATATATAACGGACAAGCCTGATTTTTCACATGATCTCTGTTTTTGGCATCGGGGGTGCAAAGTGGTGAACAGTATCATAACGTGACTTTATATCAACAGATATTAGTGGCCAGCTCTTGCCTCTTGCGTGCACACTTACCCCAGTGAATTGCTCCAGAAAGAGAAGGTCGAAGGGTAATTGTGGATGGACAGGCTATTTGAGTGGATGGTCCACAGCCTCTTTAAACGCTTCCAAACTACTTGTTTTGAGCAACTCCGACTCATATCATGAATCGATCATATCATCATTTAACTGTAAACGTGCAGTTGTGTTTAACTTGTCTTATGTAGGTCTAAATATTTAAACAGCAGCAGCCTCTGTAATCCCCAGCAGGATGATTTACGCTCACATGCGCGTGCACTATTGATTGTTTGATCTCCTTCTTCATAGAAGCTCACGACGCTTTACACCATTTCTCCTGTAAGATGTTGACTCCTCGCCACTGCACCGGATCCTGCTCGTTCAAATCGCCTCTGCTACCACCGTGAATCAGACACAGGGGCGCGAGGACGCAGCCACAGCTTCTGTTAAAAACCACACCACGGGAGATTTAAAAACCACCACGGACACTCTGAGCCAAGCTGAAAGTAGTCTAAAGTGTAATTACCTGTAATATTAAAAAAAAAAAAAAGTTAAAAAAAAGTGGATCTCCACCCTCAGCGTTTATGTATCTCGCATACAGTGATTTGTTTTATTGAAATTATCCCATCGATTATTATTATTTGTGGCAAAGTGCAATGACAATGTATGTTTGTTGTAAAGGTGGGTTATTATTTCTTCTTCTTCATTTTTTCCTCTCCCTATCAACAATAGCAGCTTTGATTAGACGGTTCATTGCTCCTTATCCTTTCAGTATTGTAAATAAGTCTACTAATTTTAATGTGTTCTTCCATGCAGGCCAGTAGCTTACTTTGGATGTTATGCACTTTAAAACGAGTGGTGGGAATTACAGTAAAAAACAAAGCAAAACAAAATACAAAAAAGCCTCCGCGTTGAAATACAGCATATTTATTTCTGTAGCGGTCAAACTATGCCTATTTGCTGTTGGAAATTTGAAAAACTAGTAGGCTGAATTAGTGCATCTGCGACCTTGTAAGCAGTGACATATCCTATTAAAAATAGTCTATTCCTCCATGTAATATTTGTTTTCGTCGCTAATGAATAAATCATTTTATTTAAAGAAGTGTGATTTATTTCCCCCCATATTTACATTTCTTTTTACCTTTTTGATTCCCACAACTTTTTTTCTTTTTTTTTCCTGCAAGTAATCAATCAACACAGGATCTCGTGAGCCAGTGGACTCCTAATTTAGCAAAACCCACTTATGTGAGTGCACCTTTCACCTTTGTGAATGAATGAATGAAGCTATATGCTGTAAGCGTTATTTAAATAACTGCTTGTGGAGGGGGAAATAATGCCATATCCATGAGAAAACAGCTTTCTACACGCGGAAAACAAGCAACCCGAGGCTATTTTGAGTGTGGAATATTCGTCTAGGTAATCGACGACTGAGACCTAGATCCAACTTCCACAGAGCCCATAGGAAACAATGATCAGTCCTAGCTTTATATATATATATAAACTATCAAATCATACAATCTATATATATATATATATATATATATATATATATAATATAATATATATATATATATTATATATATATATATATATATATATATTATATAAAATAGGCATTCCTGCATTTCAATTAAAGTGATAAGACAAGGAAAAAGTGGCGGATTCCCAAGTTAAAATTGCCAATGTTAATTACGTCTAAATGACTTAATTATAAGGATCAAATATTCTCATTGTCAGTTGACAAATTAAATAAAAGGTTTACAAATTATAGCACGAATAAAGGGAAGGAACACTGCGTCTTAAGCCTAATCGCGACCCTGTTTTATCTTTACGTACTGCAGAGCAAAACGCATCAAGCCAACTAAGATCTGAAGGTGCGCCCTGCTTTTGTTCAAAGTAGTCTGTAATACCTCGGAGACGCCCTGTGGTCGTTTGTGTTCCAGCAGCGCCCCCTGCTGTGCACTGTGGAGAATGAAAACTGACTTTTTATGTTTCTTGAGGATGGCTGTTGCGCCTGCGCAACCAGTGTAACAAGATGGCGGAGAGTGCGGAACTGAAGGTAAAGCGAGTACATACGTTAGCTTGATAAATAAACGTTTCACACACTGAGATTTCAATTTCAGGTGTTAGCGCCGTTGACACTTAACAGTAGACACCCGAAGAGTGTTGTTATGAAGGCATATGATAAGAAAACAGCAGAGCAGAAACGACTAGATAGACAGTTAGCTGACGAGCTAGCTCGGTAGCACTAGCTTTGTTATTGTTGCACACTCTGCGTTAGGCTCTGTCTGTGGTTCACCTGCACTTAAATAAGGTCGGATGTGGGCTTTAGCAAGAGATGAAGCTAATATTCCTGTCAGCGTGTGAAACCCACTGGCATTGTAATGTTAGCCTCCTAGCCCTATCAGTAGTTCGCCGTGCGAACCGCAGTGTGTGTTAAAGATGGGCTCTGTCTATTCCCTGGAATCCTAGTGCAGGTTAACTTGGATTGGCTATACTTTTGACACCTAGTCCAACAAATTACAGACACTTTCCACACTCCTGTTTTAGTGTAATCCAACGCGATTTGTTTTCAAACACAAGTTAACACAATGAAAAGTCTTGTTTTGTTTCAGTGAGGTCACACCAGCATCATGCGGGCGGTGTTAGCTAGTTTTTACTTATTAAACCACAGCGGTGTGTCCCCACTTTCTAATTTAATATTGTTAATGGATTATTCTTCCACTGTGGATAATTACACTACATGTAAAAGGCTTTCATTTTGATCTTCACTTCAAATGAACTAATATCTGCGATACTCACACGTTGCATTGCCAAAGGTGATCATATCAACAGTAATGTAGCAATCATTGAGGTTGATCAGTAAGTGTTACTTTTGTACAGCATAAAATGCATTTGAGATGAGCTCACTAAAGATTTAAATCTATCTGTAATTTCTAAGAGTACCGCTTTTGAGTTAAGAGTTGGATTTGCGCAATACTGCAGTACACTTCTTTAATCTGGCTTCATCATTATGTAGGGAATGTGTTATAAAGGTGTTTTCATGCGTGATTCTGATTTGCACTGCTGGTGTTGCAGTTAAAAGAACACAGATTCTAACACTAATTAGTCATTTGGTATTTAAAACCACCAAGACTTTCTTTATTAGTGGTATATACTATACTGAGAGAGAGAGCTCTCTGTGATCCCTTATTCTTGAATATGGCAGGCACCACCCTGTTATGGGAGTGTGTTACAGAAAAAAGAAATGCCATTGTAGTCATCTCCAAACTATGTTTTAAGTTTTCTCAAGCCAGCTTTAATAAGTACATATTATGCAACTTCGCAGTATAAATTGCACCTCTAAGGCGTCATGAGAATATTTTCCATTGCTTAAATATTTATCCCAGGTAGGTCACTGATTGATTGTCAGAGGAGATTACCAAAATATTTGCATATGGACTATATGATTGCAGCCTGTCCTTTTAATGCTGACGTTGCTTTATTTGTCTGCAATGCAGTCATCCACAAAGATATTACAGCATGGAGTCAGCACAAGAATATGAGTGGAGGCTTTACAGTAGAATGTAAGATAGTACAAACTATTTAAAATGGACTTTTATTCTCTCTGTGTCTCAGAGGCTGTCTTGCAGGCTAGTGTTGTTGCTTTGCTTCACTGCATTTCACTCTAAACTATTTGTTTTGTTTTTTAAACAAACATAAAAGAATAAAACCACCATATAGTTTAATGCAGTCTGTTGCAGCGTTGCCACCTTCATTGTCAAACATTACCAGAGTTAGATTATCTTGGACAATGTCTCAAAAAGTTTCTGTAGTGGCTTCCATTATTTTGTACAGCTGGCCATGTCCACATCCTGTTTTACCACGAGCAACATGTGCTGATGTGTTATGAATTAAAAGTACAAAGACGTTGCATTTAGAAATGTGCATTTCTGCATCTAACCAAAAGCCTGTCTCTTCCATAGTCATCTCAGAGGGGCTATGTTTACAGACAAATATCAATGATATTTGTCTGCAAAGCACCGAAAATGTTGTGTGTGGACATTGCAAGATAGCAAAGGATTTAAAAGCATTATTTATTTATTTAAAAATAAGAAGAAGAAGAAGACATTATTTAACAGTTGTATTTAATTGACAAAATAGTTTTGTTTCTTTATGACAGATTAGAAATTTTTGTTTTTAAGTTGTTATAGATCTTCTCTTCCTCACTCTTCATTTTTCACCAGCAAATGGTAATGAGCCTTCGTGTTTCTGAGCTCCAAGTGTTGTTGGGATATGCGGGACGGAATAAGCATGGGCGCAAACATGAACTTTTGACCAAAGCTCTCCACCTACTCAAGGCTGGTTGCAGTCCCGCAGTGCAGATGAAGATCAAAGAGCTCTACAGGCGGCGCTTTCCAACCAAAATGGTTTCGCCAGTGGACCTAGCTCTTCCCGGTGTTCACGCTGCAGCCAGCTTGCCCACTGGCCTTGCCCAACTGGGGTTTGACAGCCACGGTTCCCCATCACCGCTGCTGCCTGTTTCCTTACTCGGGCCTAAGCACGAGCTGAGTCTGCCTCATCTTTCCTCCGCTCTGCACCCCGTACACCCTGATGTCAAGCTCCAGAGATTGTCATTCTACGATGTGCTGGATGAGCTGATAAAGCCAACCAGCCTGGGTGAGTCCACAACTTCCTGTTCAGCTTTGTTTAGTGATAGCACCTCTCCATTGCGTGCATCCCATGAAAGCACCGGGTAAAAGTTCAGCATCTGTTGACCCCAGTCGTTTCTGTAGGTTTCCCCACTGACTCTGTGTTTCTGGTTTCTTTTTCATAGCTTCAGACAACAGTCAGCGGTTCCAGGAAGCATGTTATGCCTTTGCATTAACACCGCAGCAAGTTCAGCAGATCAGCAGCTCCATGTAAGTGAGAAAGCTTCTTGGTACATTCGGCAAGTTAAATAAATGAGAAGGCAAATAACTGTCACTTTTAAAGCTTTATCGCTAATTAACCTTTTATAATTAGATATCGGAGAAAACCGAGTCATTCATGTGTTGTGTGTTAAATATTTCTTCTTTTTGAATTCTTCAGGGACATATCCGGGACCAAATGTGACTTTGCTGTTCAAGTCCAGTTAAGGTATGACTAAGATAGCCTTTTCTTTTGAGCATCTGTTTTAATCGGTGTGATGTGGCGGTGTGAGTAATGGGTCTGTTTTTAGCTGCTCTCCATTTTGAATCAGCCAGAAATAGTAATGTCACATGAACAAAAGTTTAGAGAAAAAAAGAGCAACTGTGCACACATCCAGACTAACTTTTCTTTTAAGTGACAGAACAGAAAAAGGTTTGAAAACTCAGTGGCTACAAGTAATAAGTGAACCCTTAAAACACTGATACACAAGCAACATTTTGATCCTCAAGCGTGCCAAAGAACAAAAAGCCTAAGAGAGCTCATGCAGCTGGAAACTTGTTTCTAAATGTTTTAATCCTGAACAAAAGTTAGGACAGTTTTGTTTGTTTTAAGCATGCTGCTAGTGTTTTTCTTTTCAAATTTAAGAAATGAAAGCCTCAACCTGCTAATTATGATTTTAGTTATCGTTAATGATAAGTGACAATGATGAGATCCTGCCATCCATGCTCTTCTGCTTATCGTTATCAGGGTCATGAGGGGGAGGGGGGGCTGGAGGGCTGGAGCCCATCCCAGCTACGCAAAGATAAGAATTGAGTTGAATTACATTGAGGTCAAATTTTCAAATGAACAGTGAAGGATACAAGGCATGTTTTTCTCTTGGGGGCTCAGGCTTTTGTTTATATTCACAACGGACATGAGGGATTACAAAAATAACCAAAGAAAAGTACAAGCATATTTGGATGTGGACACATTGTTACCACACTAATCAGTAAAGGGGAAGTTTGCTTTAAAGAACACCTAATTTATCCAGTCTAGCCTGTAGGATTTCCCAAGCCAGCATATATATGACAGAGAATACTTAATGACATTAAAAACTGGTGAATGACATCCGTTAAGAAGTGCTCTCCTGTATCATAGATGGAGATGGCTGTACTTGACACAACCGAAAACCTAAAATAAGCAAGAAAGAAAGAAAGCCAGCCTTTTTGTCAAAGTGGTAACTGAACAGAAACAAATTGTGTTTGCCATTTTTTCCTCAACATCTGAACTTATCCTCGATGCAATTTGTTTTCTCTTATTTTCAGATTTTGCTTATCGGAGACAAGCTGTCCCCAGGAGGACCATTTCCCCCCAAATCTGTGCGTGAAGGTGAATGGAAAGCCTTGTAATCTTCCGGTGAGTCCTTGGTGTTTGTTTTGTTTTTCTTTGCTTGTCAAGAAGCAAGAAGTGTTTAATAATGTGACTGTGAGTTACTAAATTTGTTGTGTTCCTTATAGGGATATCTTCCTCCCACCAAAAATGGAGTTGAACCAAAAAGGCCCAGTCGCCCCATTAACATAACGTCTCTTGTCCGGCTGTCTACTACAGTCCCCAACACAATTGTGGTGTCATGGACTTCAGAAATTGGCAGGGTAAACACACTGGATTCTCATTTTTTTTATGTTTAAACAAATGGTCTGCGGAGTTGTGAGGAGAACATGAACCATCAGCATGACCTGGTTTGCTTATTATTTCCTCTTTTTTTCAGTGTTTTTCCATGGCTGTGTATTTGGTCAGACAGCAGTCGTCAGCAGTGTTGTTGCAAAGACTACGGGCCAAAGGAATCAGGAACCCTGACCACTCCAGGGCTCTGAGTAAGTCACGATATTAATTGGGAAGTACAAAGAACTGGATCTGCCCCATGATTTGTGAGAATGACATTTAAGAAACAGAAATTTCATACAGTAACTCTGCTACAGTTTTCTAACTGGTCTGACCACAGAGTCGAAACAAAGGTAAAGGTACTTTTCTTTGCATTCCTCATATGTTCTCTGGAAAAGTCCCTCTGTTTGTTTATGTGAACAAAGGCCAACGGTGGAGCTTACATTTTCTGCTTCACAATTTTGTAGTCCTTACTGTATGTGGGACTCTACAATACTATCAGAGTAATTCCCCTGAATTTGCTTGTTTCAGTTTGGTTTTTAATGTTTAAAGTGTTTAGTTTTTACTTTAGCTTTGTTTGTTTTTTTATATTTGCAATATGAAATAATTTGTCAGTAGCAAGGTCACAATTGTTCCTTTAACACAGACACACTGGGAACAATGTTTGGTCTCAATAAATCTATGCAACAACATTGTGCTTCAGTTCAGTTTTACTTCTGTAGCACCAAATCACAGCAACAGTCGCCTCAAGGCATTTTATATTCTAAGGTGAAGACTCTACTATAATATAATGTTTTAAGAGCTTTTCTTTTATGTTATTTTTTTTTTAAGTTTTTCAATACATGTTAACTTTTTTCCACTTTTTTAGTTTTGTTATGTTTTTTTAGTTCAACAAACTATAATAACCTTAAAACATTGTTACACAAGCAACATTTTGAACCTTAAGTGTGTCAAAGAACAAATTCCATTAAACATTAAAAAGTTGTGACTCTAGCACTTTGTTTTGCTTACAGTCAAAGAGAAGTTGACGGCCGATCCAGAGAGTGAGATTGCTACCACAAGTCTAAGAGTTTCTCTCCTGTGTCCTGTAAGTACCATTCATCACTATCCTCTTTGATGTTAAGTTGCTTCTTAGCCTGCTGTTAGAGCAACAAGAAATACATTTACAGTTTTAGTGACCTGAGGTTTACGGTATTTGGATGTAAAGTGGTTGGGGACTGTTGCTTTTGTTCTGTGCTATTATATAGTATAAAACTGATCACTGTGTCAGTCAATGGAAGCGACATTTATCGAATTATCTTTCTTTTCTTTTCTTTTTTAGTTGGGGAAGATGAGGCTGACAATCCCCTGCCGAGCAATGACATGCTCACACCTCCAGTGCTTCGATGCTACTCTTTATATTCAAATGAATGAGAAGAAGCCAACATGGGTTTGTCCAGTCTGTGACAAGAAGGCACCATATGAGCACCTAATTATTGACGGGTGAGCAGGTCTTTTTTTAATTTTATTTTTTTAATGTCGGGTATGGTTCCATGCCCATCCGTTTAGTATGATGTAGTCAGAAATGCTCTCCTTCCTCTACTTTGTAGAAATGTTAATCCAGTCGTCTTCTGACCAGAAAGGGTGGAGCAGGTTTCTTTAACATTGGCAAAAAAGGGATGCGCTGAATGCCTTTTTAATTTGATTAAACCCACTTGTTCTGGGTGGATGTTGCTGATCAGACAGCTTTAGCAAAAACGGATGCAGTCATCTGGTTATGAAGTTAAAGTTGGCTTAACTTTAACATCCTGCATTCCTGATTTTTATCAGGATAATCCTGCAGCTGGTCTGACAGTTGTCAAGATAAATAATAATAAAACTGCATGCTGCATAAATAGCGTGTAGCTTTATAAGCAATTAAACTCAATTAAACTTCTTGTTTTAACTTGAAACAGACTTTCTTTGGTTTGTGTTTTATTGTCTCCTGACTATCTTGAACACAGCTGTTTCTGGACTGGATTCCTGGACAGGAATTGCCAATAATACAAATCCTTGTTTATGTTTATTTAGTATCAGTTGCTCAATCTGCTCATGATGAATCACAGCTGTATTGTAATTCTGAAGTTTGACTTTTAAGTGACTCACAAGTACTTAAGATTATTGTAATAGAATTGGAATGGCTTGTTTTTCTAGGTTGTTCATGGAAATCTTGAATAGCTGCTCTGACTGTGATGAAATCCAGTTCAAAGAAGATGGAAGCTGGGCCCCTATGAGGTCAAAGAAAGAAGTGCAGGAGGTTTCTGCTTCCTACAACGGTGTAGACAGCGGTATGTCAGTTGATTTTAATCTTTAAATCTAATCTTCCCCATGATCTGGGAACGCAGACTGACATTGCTGTTTCCTTGTAGATCTGTCTGGAACCGACGCGCATGAGCACAAACGGTCTTCTAATGACAACTGCAAGAAAGTAGATGTGATCGATCTGACACTGGATAGCTCCTCAGAAGATGAGCTAGATGACGAGCCGCCTCCTAAAAGAGCCTGTCCCTCGCTGTCACCCGTCTCTCCACCTGCAAGCAAAGGGTAAGTCATGAAACTGCAAAGGAAGTGAGATGACTGTAAAAAATGTGTTCAACTCTGTCTGCTTTTGTCTCTAAACATATGATGTTATTTCCTCCCAGAGTACTAAACCTGCACAGCCAGGCCTCACCTGTGAGCAGAGCTCCCAGCATGCCACCTGTGGAGACCAGTTACATTCCTCCCCCACCACCTCTCATCCAGGACTACCGCCACTACTATCACACAGCCAGTGACCTGCCAGGTAGCCCCGTCAATTTCCCTAAAGGAAATGAATTTTATCTCACTGCCATCATAGCGTGTATGTGTTAAATTCTGTCATCTGACTACCAGCATGAGTGTGCCTCCTGATAGACAGAACTAGGGATAATGTTGATGTCTTACAGTGTCGCCATGTCATAGGGAGATAACTTCACAGTGATTATTGTAAGTCATTAAGTGTACATTAGTCACGTAGGTTTGCGCAAGGGTGAGACAGTAGAAACAAAAACCTGTTCGTTTGGTTGGTTGGTTTTTTTTTTTGTTCTGTTTTGTTTTCGTGCAGTGGTCAGTTGAAATTTTGTAACACTTTTCTTTTTTTTTTCTTTTTTTTTAAAGCATGCTGAGAATGATAAGACTTTGGTTTTTGTTACAAAATTTTCCTTATCAGGACACATTTATTGTTGTACTGAATAATTTGGCTCTCTAATCAGATAATTTATCAAATGTACCAGTGTAATTAACTGGGGAAGGTGTTTTTACTTTAAATTTTTACTTTAAATGCTACTTTTCCAAAAAAAAAAAAAAAAACCCCAAAAAAACTTGTTTTTTTTGTTTTTTTTTTACATACTGAGCGAAAAGGAAACAGAAAAAATGGAGAACATGGACGCTTTTTGGGAGGGATTAATAAAATAAAAAGATATTCAAATTACCTCCGTAAAAATATTTGGCTCTAATGTGTCGATTAAATTGAAAGAAAGGTTTTTGTTGTGGGAAATATTCCATATACTGGAGACCTGGGGAATTTTCATTGTAATACATCGGTTGTAAATTATTCACTTGTAATGACTTCATGCCTCTGAACGCAGCTTGTAAAGTCTTTTCTTTTTCTTACAGATCAAAATTTCTTCTCCTTCCTCCAAGGCGACAATCAGGTACAGTTACTCATTCTCATCCAGCGACCACAAACCCGCCTAAATAGATTGTAAAAGAGTGATATATTTTCAGTAAGACAAATCTTTAGATCTGTACATTGAATTAAATAAATTTACAGATGTTTTTTATCCAGTGATAGCTGTGCAAATCAAAACTAAGCTTTATTCATACATTTAGTGCTGTACATACAGCAACCTCACTTTTTCTCACATACTTAAGTTACTAAAGTGCTGTTTGAATTATTATCTCGCTAACAAATAACACTTGCAGGTGTACGCTGAGGTCCGTGTCAAATCTGAGGTCATTTGGAAAACTGATTCTCAGATTTCTGCTAAAACTAGTTTTCTGTTATCCTCTTACAACAACTGGTGTCTTCATGTGAGGCGTTTAGTGATTGTCTTTGTAGATTGTTACTAATGAAAGTAACTTGGTTTGCATCCCTCTTTCCAAATTGCACGACTCTCTGCCCGCACATCACTCACACACAGCGCCATTCAACACCACAGGAAAACATGCCAGTGACATTTGGGAACAACCTTAAACTTAATATTCACTAAAACAACTTAATTTGCCATTTTGCTTCTATCTTTAGCAGCTGTTAGTTGAACTACTGTATATTATATTAAAGCATGCATGCAGTCAGACAGGCACAGGTCTTAGTAGTTTGTCTTAAAATTAAAACTTGGTCATTTGTTTTTGCTTTTTGGTTTGTTTTATTCTCCCCATTCTTCAGTGTCATGAAGTTTTGTAAATATAGCACTAGACTTTAACATATTTCTTCACAGTATGCTTGACTGTTGTCACTCTTCTTTGTCCTGTTAGCATTACAATATGGTGATGGCTGCTGCAGCAGCTGCGTCGGCTTCAGCCTCAGAGGATCATGACCTGCTCCTCAACCGTTTCCTGCCCTACAGCTCCCCTCAGCTCTTACGTGAACAGCCAGGCACCCCGGGGAGCAGCACATTGGCTGCCACCAACGGAGGCAGCAACAGCGGCAGCACCAGTAGTTTGGTGTCTTCGAGCAGTCTGCGGGACCGTGACAAAGACCGGGATCGGGACAGGGACAGGGACAGCCATTCCATTTCAGGATTATCAAGGTCCTCAGTGGAAGCAGCAGCAGCTGCAGCGGCCATTTATGGCTCCATATCTGACATTATCTCTCTTGACTAGATCCACTCAGAACTGAAAGACAAGGGAGACGTTGAGAGCAGGAGTTCTTTGTAAATAAAGAAGAGGAAGATGAAAGAATACAGTGCTATGTACAGAGAGGAAAATCTATTTTCAATTTTACTTATCATATGTATATAAACTTAGGACGCTTCCTGTCCGGTGAGTTACTTCAGTTGATATTTTTCTGTGAATACTGAAGACTTTTTCACACCTCTTCATGTGGTCCTTTGATTAAATTGTACCTTTTGTACCTGTTTTTACGGTTTTGTTTCGATAATTCATGTCAATGGCATTATTTCAGTATACATGCACAGAACGCAGTGGGGGTCACAACCTTATGGAGCGTGATATTCAGAATATAAAGCAAAAGGGCATTGTTATAGATGTACAAAAGGCAAGTCTCAGCAAAACAGGAAAATGGGTAACACTTTCTTTATTTTCTAAATGGCTTTATTTCTGTTGACATGCTGTGGGCAGCAGAAAGATCGGCCATTTTTTGCCATCACTGTAGAATTTTTTCAGTAGAACATTCATGCTGTGGTCATTATTTTAAATAATTATTTATGATGTAAGTTATGTAGGATGTGTGCTGTTTTTTTTTTTTTTTTTTTTTTTTTTAAAGAAGCATTCCCTATGCCTCTAGGAACTGTTGCCACTAGAAATGCAGGAGTAAATGCTAGATCCTTCTATTGTCGTAAGTGCTCTCTTTTCCTCCTCACTTCTTTAACTCAAATCAAACATGAGCGATGTTAAATTGTTCAAACTGTACCTGGATGACATAAATTGGGAGAAGTCAGTATTGTTAAGACAACACTTTTATTTTAATTTTATTTTGTTGTTGTTGTGTGAATGAAGGGCACAGGTCCAGCAAGAACCACTATCGGACCTTTTATATAAGTCTTAGATTTGCAGTATTGTGTAATTTTTTTCCTCTCAAAGTGTAGTTGTTTTACTTTGCATATTATATTCTTAAAAACATGCACAGAAAAAACCCACAATTGATGAGTTGATACCGATAAATTTCTGCTCCACCGTCAGTGGGAGACTAGTTTCTGGTCCGCGTGAGGTGAAATGCTATATTTGAAAGGTGTAAAACTGTTCACTGAGTGCAATTGGATTAAATACATTTCACTGGGTTTGATTTTAGCACTTGTTGCTTTTTGTTTTTTAATTTACAGAGAGCCTGTTTGGAGCAGTGAAGCATTACAATGCGCAATTGAGTAGTTTTCAGCTTTATGTGTGTCTACAAATTACCTGAAAGCTCACCTGTTTGAGTGAATCACAACACCCTTTTTTTTGGCCCAAAAGTCAAAATCATCTATGTTACTTTGGACTCCTCCCTTTCCTTTATTTTGTTTGACTTGTGCTTACAGTTAGAATTATTTATTATCATATATATTTTTCAGCATTTGTTTGATTAATGAACATGCATTGCTGTCATTGTATGTGATCATTTCTTTTGTAATTATATATAATTAATGCTATTTAAAGATGTCATTGTTGCTTGACATGCATTGTAACATTTTCTGTTTGTCTGTTTTGCTATCAGATGATGTCAATAACTCAATAGAAGCTTTGATCATTTTGAACGGCTGCGAGGTCTACTGTGCTGTTTGATATTTGCAAGAATTAAAACCAATACAAGGAAGTGCATGTTTTGTAGATGGCGTGAGGACAGCTCCGTTTGCTTCTCTGGTAGCTTTTGAGAGCATTCAGTATAGAAACAAAATCACTCGGTTGAATGTTGCCAGCAAAAAAATGTACCGTCTCTGAGGAGCGGCGTGGCACTTAAAAGAAATCTGCATTGTTTATGAAATTGTTTTTCAGTATCAAGGTCTTAGGTTACAAAAGGATAAAGCTACGTAATATCATTGGCAGTTATTATTAGAAGAAGAAAGAAAAGCAACATTGTACACATTTGCTTGTTAGTAGTTTTCTTGATTTTGGAGGAGTGGAAATGGCCTCGGGGTATCCCTGTGTTTTAATGGTTAATTTAAACTAGGAGTGATGGCATATTCAAAAAATACAAAATAACTGAAATTATATTTATGTACTTACAAACCAAACTAAACTAAAATATTAATGCATACATATACAGGAAATGTCACTTTTTAAGTCTTTCTCAATTTGGTTGAGTATGTAAACCTGACAAAGTGCCGCAGGCTTTCTGCATTTGTTTATTCAGTCAGCATGGTCGAAGTCCACTTCCCTGCTGTGTTTACCATACAAAATACGTTATTTACCCTGTATTTAGAACTTTTTTTTCATGCAGTTGAAATGGACAGGTTGCCAGTCTGTGGCAGAGACTCAGACGAGCATTCATGTTCACATTCACACCGATAGTCATTTTGAAATCAGTATTATAGGACTGTGGGAAGAAGTCAAGGTACCCATAAGGAACCCGTGCAGGCACAGGGAGAACATGTAAACCTCACTCAGTCATGCCCAACTGGGGGCTTTTTGCTATGAGGTGATTACCATGCAGTCCTTAAAAATACATCTGCCAGATGACACTCTGCCAGACAGATAAATTGAATTATAGATGATAGTAGCATGAGATATAAATTATTTCCTGTATCTGTCTTTGTGGTAGTGGAGCTGAATCAGTCTGTTACATAAGGTGGACCTCAGTGATATTCCTGTCCATCACAGCTTTAAAAGTTTCCTGTTTGCAACCAATCACAGAGCCACAGAAGCAGATGATTTCTTCATCTCAACAAAATCATTTACTAGTGAACAGTCAAACATGGTGGTGGTAGTTTGGTGGTCTGGGGCTGCTTTGCTGCTTCAGGATGACTTGCTGTAATTGATGGAACTGTGAATTCTGCTCTCTTCTAGAAAATCGTGAAGGAGAATGTCTGGCCATCTTTCCGTGCCCTGAAGCTCAAGCACACTTGATTTAAGCAGCAGGACAACAATCCAAAACACATGTGCAAGTCTACCTTTGAATGTGCTGTGCTGGCCTAGTCAAAGTCAAGACTGAAATCCAAATCAGATACTTTGACATAACCTTACACAGGTTGCTCAAAATGCTTAATTAAAACAGTTTTGCAAAGAAAAGTGAGCCAAAATTCCTTCCAAGTGATATGAAAGATCTATTGCTAGTTACCACAAATGCTTGATTGCAGTTTCTGCTGCCAAGAGGCACACAACTAGTTATCAGGTGTAGGGGACAATTTTAACACAGCACCAGTTGGTTTGGCTATCTTTTTCTTTTTTACATTAATAAATGAAATCATCATTTACAATTTGTGTTTTGTATGTATTTTGTCTTATATTATGCTGGAGAGTAGTGACAATCTAATTTGTTAACTAATGCCATTGTGCAGTAACTTGCAGGTAGTGCAGTTACATTCACATTTGCATTGTTTTTATTTATTTTCTATTTATTTATTTATTCATTGCAATTTTTAATAACTATTGAAATTATAATTTTTGGGAGTATAAGAAAAAATATGTTTTTAAACTTTTTTTTCTACCCTGGTCTCTGGTTTCTGTAAAAGAAATTAACTGGTGAACATTGTATACAGAATCTAGACACTAAACATGGCATACCTTGTTGACATTTTACTTCCTTTTTAAAATTATATTTAGTTATTTATTTACTGCGTTGGTTCACATTTTATGTTAATTGTCATTTCATGATCAATATTATTATTTATTTTTACAGTATTGATATTATATTGAACTTCTGAAAACCTGCTTTTGGCAGTTATCCCCCACTTAAAAAAAAATAAAATAATAATAATATTAGAAAAAAAACCCCAAAACTAACAGAAACCTGCCAAACCACTCTGAAACTTTTACTTAACGTAAACAAACACCAAATAAAAATAATATATATATAAAATCACCAGTCTTTGGAGCATCTGTTCATCATATGACACTAATTAATAGCACACTTGCGTTCGAGCCAAACCACAGGTCTGTCTCAGAGGACATGGGCACAACCAGCTGTTTTTAGCTTAAAGCCGTTTCATGACTTGTTGTCTAGCCTGCATTTTATTTTTTTAACAGACACCGATGCTTCAAAAGTCCAGCAGAAGGCAAAAACGTGTAAGGTAAATGTGAAAAGAAATCCTGTTTTGCATTCATTGCTGACTTGGAGTGTGGATGTGGGTTTAGTCGGGGCATTAAAGCGTCATCGCGTCGGTCATGACGTTTTTAGAAAGCGGCGCCGCTGCAGACTGGAATGGGAGCTGGCGATTTTTCCCATATTTTGATAGTTTAATCCGTGAATGGCGCCGAAACAGGACCCGAAACCTAAATTTCAAGAAGGTAACAGTTTGTTTCCTTCTTGTTCTGTTAGGCTTGTACCAGCAGCGAGTGCTGGAGTCGCCGAAAAGCTTTAAAGTGTCAGCTAGTTACTGATCGTAACAAACAGCTAGCCGTATTAGCTCTCATTGTTGTTACTGTGAACACTAAATGGGACTCGGGAGTTTTTATTCGCCGCTTTGGTGATTTATTTCGTCCTGTCATTACTACACAAACCAATTTCAGAAGTAAGAAGCTATATAATCTGTGTTTTCGAGATCTTTTATTAAACTGAAGGCTATATTTTCATTCATGCAGCGTTAGCTTCTCATTGACTGTTAGCTGAGTCCTAGCTAGCTTTTTTTGTACACGGCGTGTTAGCACCGCCTGCTGCTGACTTGGCGCTCATTTGTTGAATTATATACAAGTGGTTAAGTTATTAAATTAACTAGCAGGACTACGTTAAATTTATTTAGTAAAAGTCTTCCTTTTTAATATCAGTGACCAGAATGTTCTCTTGACAGTTAGTCATATTAGTGAGATAATAGTCGAGTTTTCATGTAAACTTCCGTAAATATGCAGTTGTGGTCAGATGTTTATATATAGTCGTTATGGGCATGTAATGCCATGGTATTTTTTTCCACCCTGGAAAACGAATGAGTATACATCATTAATGACTTTAACAACCAAGAACGTGGTACACAAAGTATACATACAGGCTCAAATGCATACATACATTCACTTAAAGCTTTTAAGTAGTGCTTAAGGTTCTACAGTGTCTTTTAAATGACAAGACCAAGGCGCATTAAGTTCTTGTTGGTGATCATGACTGACTACAACTGGTAGTTTT